ATGGAATTGAGTTGGATAATTTAAAGCTTTAACTTTAAGCAATTGTCTGCTTTGCGCACCACAGGTAAGCTAGTGATGAACTAAACACTTCATCGTTCTTTGGTAATCTAGAGCGTAGTCATTTTGTTATCTTTTTCTAATTTTATCACTAAACGATTATCTTTAACAGTTCAAGTTTAAGACAGATTAATTCTGGTAATTAGCATTTTAAATTGTAATTTGTCTTTAAACTATTAGTTATTTTATACACCACAGGTAAGCTACCTAAGGACCAGATGTAACAGTAGTAATCAAGAGCGCTTTGAAATACATTTGTTTACACAAATATTGCTTGTTAAAAAAAATCTATTGCTGTTTTAATTGATTTCTCATCAGCTTATATCAATTTGAAGTCAATTGTCTACTTTATACACTCTGGGTAATCTAGATTTAGGTGTGTTATCTCTTAAATGAGAAATTAACATATTTTTTTATTTAACTAGGTGGTAATGGAATTGAGTTGAATAATTTAAAGCTTTAACTTAAAGCAATTGTCTACTTTACGCATCACAGGTAAGATAGCGATGAACTAAACACTTTATTGTTCCTTGGTAATCTAGAGCGTAGTCACTCTTTTCTGTTTTTAATTTTATAACTAAATGTTTATCTTTGGCAGTTCAAGTTTATGATAGATCAATTTTGGCAATTAAAACTATTGTCCTTATTAGTAAATTCATCATTAAAAGGACTAGACATTATACTCACCACTGGGGGCTAATAAAATGTCTCAAAGTATTTAAAAAATGGCAAAATAACAAGTAAAATATCAAATCTAGTAAGTTTCTGAGTTAACTGAGATATCGCTTCCAAAAATATAATTGTAGCGCATTGTAATTCATTGACTATTATGGACTAGTTACCAGACTATTCCTTTGTCATTTTAAAAGTTAAAGTTATGATTTAAAATAGTAAGTAATATGACTAGTTCCGTGAACAAAACTACCGGGTTGTGAGAAAAACACACCCAAAAAAAGTGTTAATATGTAAAACGTTTGAAAGCGAAATCTAAGTAATTTATTAAGTAACAATAGTGAAAAAGGTCTTATTAGCAATTTTAACAAATCAAACATTAGAAGAATCATATTTTTCAATTACAAATGGAATTCTACTGAATTAGTACAATTTGACAGCAAGTTGTAAGAAGTACTGGGGCGAAATTCGAGAAAAAGAAGAAATTAGAAGAATCATATTTTTCAATTACAAATGGAATTCTACTGAATTAGTATAATTTGACTGCAAGTTGTAAGAAGTACTGGGGAGAAATTCTGGCGAAAACGATTGAATTTCTAAGATTTTTTTAATTCTATTGAGGTTTTGATCGCTTGCGAATGTCAGAACGGTTCTAGTACTTGGTCCTTCTAATTTTTGAGAAAATATATATATTTTTCATTAATTTTTCCCTTTGTGTAATTTTTACACAGTTTTTATTATTACAAAAGCTTGTGATAAAAGCTTCTAAAAGCATTTTTCAATTAACTTTTAAAAAAATACCAATTGTGAAACTATAGATAAGCAAAAATCTTCTAAGTTTTAGAAGATTTTTTCTACAATTATCTCTATTAAAGCTTATTTTCTCTCAATTTAACTATTGTTATTTTCACAACAATTATTGTTAAAGAAATGTAAAACTTTTAAGCTTTGATATTGCATTATTGTGAATATCTTTTAATTTAAAAAAGAAACATAGAATCTATGACATGAAATAAGTTTATCTAACTTTATTTTTCTATTTATTTATATTTTTTCTCTCTTAGGCCCTTTTTAACTTTACCTATTTAAGAATTATGATTGCTATTGTTATTGTGCTGAAGCTTTTTTTATTCATTGTGAATGATAAATACAGCAAAATATTAAAGTAAATGTAAATAATGCGTGAGTTTTTGGATTTACAGAAAAAAAATTGTAAATGTAAACGTAAAACCTGTACTCCCTCTCTCTTTCTCACCCTTTCCTCTCTTACACTTTTACATATATACATATGTATGTATGTATTATTGTCTTTATTGAAATGTTAAGAAATCTAATCAAATCTCAAGGTTTTTATTTCTGTAGCAGTATGAGTAGAGAAGAAGCTTTAGCATTAGAAGTGAGTCGAATAAAACAAATGTATTTTCAAGGTTTTCTCATTTTACAACATTTTTTTTTTTTTTTTTTTTTGATTTAACACCTACACGATTACAATAAAGACATTCACATACACACAGATACTTACTTACAAACATAAAAACTAAACATAAATATTTATTACAGCAAAATTAATAAATAAATTATTATACAAAAAAAGTAGAAAAAAGGGTAAGCCGTGGAGTTTTTTGTGGATAAAGAAAAGGTGAAAAATTTAACCTTTTTGTATAAAGCAGTAACTAGTGAAAAGGGTCATATCTAATGTAATAAGGCAAAAAGATGTTTTTCATGTGCTTTTAAGCAATATGAAGAGTTTCAGATTCAAAATCGATACAAGTTCATCTAGGGTTCTTTAAGTATGTATATGTTCTTCATAACTTTTTAAAAGGGCACACCCTAATTTACTTTAACATACATATGTAAGTATGTATGTAAGTGCGTGTGTAAATTTTCATAAAATTTTTGTTTTCTTACTTATTTACTTAATAATTTATTTACATTATGAAACAACAACAAGCATTTTAATTATAAATGACGAGTTTTTAATCAAACATATTTTTAAAGAGATTTTTTTTTTTGTAAAAAACTCAAATTTCAACACTTCTAATTGTTTATTTAATTCCAAAATAAAACATTTGTTAAGCAATCGATTTATTTGTAATATATTTCAGTTACAATAAACTTGTAGAAAGAATAATTAATGATTAAGAGTGTTAGAGAATAATTTGAAGAGACCCTTATAAAGCGTTTAACAAATAGCACGAATTATTTGGAATATAAAGCCTTTTTCAACGTATGTATAAAAACTTTGGCAAGTATGTCAGATTTCAGCAAACAGGGTGTCAAATATAAGGTCTTGAAATATAGAAAAAAACTGATCAACTAAATTTATCAATCATAACAAATTTTAAAGAGTCCAGAAAATTAAACTTAGCATAAGTGTTTTTTACTAAGATATTTAACATTTTTAAATTTTTTTAAAAAGTAGTAAATCTACTACTATTTTAAAATATTTTAAAATCAATAATATTTTTATGGTTTTTATAAATTCGAGTATTTCTAAGCAATTTGCCACTATTATTTTATAAAATTTCATATTTAAAAAAGGTAGTAGTTAAACTACTTTTTTCAATTTCGATCAAAAACGAAAAGAAATTATATTTTTGGTTTGCTTATGTCTTCTGCTATTATTTCCAATAAAAAAATTTTGTAAAATTTCATATTTTAAAAAAGGTAGTAAATCGACTACTTTTTTATAAAATAAGAAAATCAACAAAATTTTTATAGTTTTTGTAAATTTGAGTATTTCTAAGCAATTTGCCACTATTATTTTATAAAATTTCATATTTAAAAAAGGTGTAGATATACTACTTTTTCAGTTTTGATCAAAAACGAAAAAAATATGTATTTTTGGTTTGCTTATGTCTTCTGCTACTATTTTCAATAAAAAAAATTTATAACATTTCTTATTTTAAAAAAGGTAGTATATCTACTACTTTTTTATAAAATAAAAAAATAAAAAAAAAATTTATAGTTTTTGTACATTTGAGTATTTCTAAACAATTTTCCACTATTATTTTACAAAATTTAATATATAAAAGAGGTAGTAGATCTACTACTTTTTTAAATTTTTGAGTAGGAATAAAAAAAATATATTTTTGGTTTACTCACGATTAGTACTTTCATTAGCTATATAAAAATTTTTTAAATTTCATATTTTAAAAAAAGTAGTAGATCTAATACAATTTTAAAATAATAAAATATAAACAAAATTCTTATGGTTTTTGTAAATTTGGGTATTTCTAAGCAATTTTCTATTATTATTTTATAAAATTTCATATTTAAAAGGTAGTAGATATACTACTTTTTTCAAATTTTGGCACTAATTATCATTCATTCTGGGCTTATACAGATCTTGAAAACATATATTTGACATTTTAAACATGAAATAACTCTGGAAAGCAATATTGGATTTGAACAAATACAGTGTTATTTGATAGGCCTTTCAATATAGAAGCAATAAATATAATTTTATGAAACATAAGGTATCTTTCCCTTAATTAAGTTCTTTTGAACATTTCATGTATTCTTTTTATTTTATTACAAAATAATTATCATTTATATGTTCTTTCAAAATGTATGTTCATGTTCTTATTTATTGCTCAAATAGCTAAATTTTACAAAGTTTTTCACATCATTATTAGCCTTCACCTTAATTTCTCAAAAACAATTTATCAAAAAAAAATCTTTTTTGATAATTCTAAAAAAAAAAAAAATATAAAATAAAATTCATGGCCTGATCTCTTTTGATGCTCTAGAAATATAGACAAACAAACGTGGATCTTTTATACTAAATGAATTAAATGAAATCAAAATCAAATTTACACAATTTAAACACAAAGTATTTACTCAAAATTAAATGCACCAATTATTTTAGACAAGAAATTTATATGAATTTTACGCATTTGTTATAAAAACATTAGAAAGATACACTTTTGAGAAATTGTGCACAGTTTAGTAGGGGTATAATAAAAATAAACTGCATAAAAAACTATTTTTCAATCAAAAAGTATTCCTTGGTTATCTATAGATTCTGAATGTGCATAGCAGTGATCGGCTCAAAGAGAGCTTGTCGAAATGTCAGCATAATACTGCTTTTTTAAAGCTAAAAAGCTTTTAAAAATACTTTATTATTGTTAAATGTCTCTCTTTCCCTCGGCCCCTGTTGCCTTTGCCAGTTCATCCCTATTGTATAGCATTCATCAACAGCTTTATAATTTTTTTCTTAAATTTTTAATAAAAATAAATACATCAAAAATGATTCTTCTCATACTCACCCTCTTTTTACGTGGCGCATCTTCTTTAAAGTCAACAACGATACCTTCATCGGAGGTTGACACTGATGTGGTGCGTATACGGGCACTGGCTGAATCATTATTTGTTATGACACCCATATTGTGGCCATCATCGCTTAAAGGCGGCGACGATGAACCCGAACTCCAGGAGGCTGATGAACTGCCGGGACTAGAACCCAGCCATTTATCTGTAAGAGAATCAAACAAATACAAGAAATAGAGAAAAACTCTAAAGGATTCTTATTAATTCCTATCAAGAACTACTTCGTTTTCTTTACATTTCTCGATTCTTTTACTTTTTATTTCAGATCTACATACGTACTAGTGGTATTATATAGATGGTTTTCTTTTAGATTATTGAAAAGAACTTGTTCTTTTTTTTCTTTCTTTTGATCATATCTATAGAATGTTTTTTCTAATTCTAATTCTCGCGATTTAAATTCTTATCCTATGATTCAGTGACTAAAAACTCTTAAATAATTAATATATTAAATTAAAACTTACCTCCATTTTTCGGTGACTTTGGAGATAATGAGAGTGTGACCAAAATCATGGCAGCATTATTTTCATTCATTTCTTCTTCATCGTAGTTGTCGCCATTAATGCTGTCATGTGCATATGATGGCGGACGTTTACGTGAACTATAAAGAGAAAAGATAAACAAAAAAATTAAAATATATTTAATACAATTTTAAAAGACAAATTGCATAATTTTTATATTTTTAAAGAAAACAAATTATTTAATACATATTTTAGTACTAAAATTATTTAATAAATCTTTGACCCTACATTAACTTGTTTCAAAATTAAGTACTTTATACTCTTGGTGATCCATTGTGTAGTCCCAAATCCAAAGTCGAATCTATAGTCTAGACAGTAGACTAGTCTATAGTCTAGTCTGTAGCCTAGTCTATAGTCTAGTCTATAGTCTAGTCCATAGTCTAGTCTATAGTCTAGTCCATAGTCTAGTCTATAGTCTAGTCTATAGTCTAGTCTATAGTCTAGTCTATAGTCTAGTCTATAGTCTAGTCTATAGTCTAGTCTATAGTCTTGTCTATAGTCTAGTCTATAGTCTAGTCTATAGTCTAGTCTATAGTCTAGTCTATAGTCTAGTCTATAGTCTAGTCTATAGTCTAGTCTATAGTCTAGTCTATAGTCTAGTCTATAGTCTAGCCTATAGTCTAGTCTATAGTCTAGTCTATAGTCTAGTCTATAGTCTAGTCTATAGTCTAGTCTATAGTCTAGTCTATAGTCTAGTCTATAGTCTAGTCTATAGTCTAGTCTATAGTCTAGTCTATAGTCTAGTCTATAGTCTAGTCTATAGTCTAGTCTATAGTCTAGTCTATAGTCTAGTCTATAGTCTAGTCTATAGTCTAGTCTATAGTCTAGTCTAGTCTATAGTCTAGTCTATAGTCTAGTCTATAGTCTAGTCTATAGTCTAGTCTATAGTCTAGTCTATAGTCTAGTCTATAGTCTAGTCTATAGTCTAGTCTATAGTCTAGTCTATAGTCTAGTCTATAGTCCTAGTCTATAGTCTAGTCTATAGTCTAGTCTATAGTCTAGTCTATAGTCTAGTCTATAGTCTAGTCTATAGTCTAGTCTATAGTCTAGTCTATAGTCTATAGTCTAGTCTATAGTCTATAGTCTAGTCTATAGTCTAGTCTATAGTCTAGTCTATAGTCTAGTCTATAGTCTAGTCTATAGTCTAGTCTATAGTCTAGTCTATAGTCTAGTCTATAGTCTAGTCTATAGTCTAGTCTATAGTCTAGTCTATAGTCTAGTCTATAGTCTAGTCTATAGACTAGACTAGACTAGACTAGACTATAGACTATAGACTAGACTAGACTATAGACTAGACTAGTCTAGTCTATAGTCTAGTCTATAGTCTAGTCTATAGTCTAGTCTATAGTCTAGTCTACAGTCTAGTCTATAGTCTAGTCTATAGTCTAGTCTATAGTCTAGTCTATAGTCTAGTCTATAGTCTAGTCTATAGTCTAGTCTATAGTCTAGTCTATAGTCTAGTCTATAGTCTAGTCTATAGTCTAGTCTATAGTCTAGTCTATAGTCTAGTCTATAGTATAGTCTATAGTCTAGTCTATAGTCTAGTCTATAGTCTAGTCTATAGTCTAGTCTATAGTCTAGTCTATAGTCTAGTCTATAGTCTAGTCTATAGTCTAATCTATAGTCTAGTCTATAGTCTAGTCTATAGTCTATACTATAGTCTAGTCTAGTCTATAGTCTAGTCTAGTCTATAGTCTAGTCTAGTCTATAGTCTAGTCTAGTCTAGTCTATAGTCTAGTCTATAGTCTAGTCTATAGTTATCTAGTCATAGTCTAGTCTATAGTCTAGTCTATTCTAGTCTATAGTCTAGTCTATAGCCTAGTATAGTCTATCTATCTAGTCCTAGTCCTAGTCTAGTCTAGTCTATAGTCTAGTCTAGTCTAGTCTAGTCTAGTCTAGTCTAGTCTAGTCTAGTTCCTAGTCTAGTCTAGTCTAGTCTAGTCTAGTCTAGTCTAGTCTAGTCTAGTCTAGTCTAGTCCTAGTCTAGTCTAGTCTAGTCTAGTCTAGTCTAGTCTAGTCTAGTCTAGTCTAGTCTAGTCTAGTCTAGTCCTAGTCTAGTCTAGTCTAGTCTAGTCTAGTCTAGTCTAGTCTAGTCCTAGTCTAGTCTAGTCTAGTCTAGTCTAGTCTAGTCTAGATAGTCTAGTCTAGTCTAGTCTAGTCTAGTCTAGTCTAGTCTAGTCTAGTCTAGTAGTCTAGTCTAGTCTAGTCTAGTCCTAGTCTAGTCTAGTCTAGTCTAGTCTAGTCTAGTCTAGTCTAGTCTAGTCTAGTCTAGTCTAGTCTAGTCTAGTCTAGTCTAGTCTAGTCTAGTCTAGTCTAGTCCTAGTCTAGTCTAGTCTATCTAGTCTAGTCCTAGTCTAGTCTAGTCTAGTCTAGTCTAGTCTAGTCTAGTCTTCTAGTCTAAGTTAGTCTAGTCTAGTCTAGTCTAGTCTAGTCTAGTCTATTCTATTCTATCTAGTCTAGTCTATTCTATTCTATTCTATTCTATTCTATTCTATTCTATTCTATCTATTCTATTCTATTCTATTCTATTCTATCTATTCTATTCTATTCTATTCTATTCTATTCTATTCTATCTATTCTATTCTATTCTATTCTATTCTATTCTATTCTATTCTATTCTATTCTATTCTATTCTATTCTATTCTATTCTATTCTATTCTATTCTATTCTATTCTATTCTATTCTATTCTATTCTATTCTATTCTATTCTATTCTATTCTATTCTATTCTATTCTAGTCTATCTAATTCTATTCTATTCTATTCTATTATTCTATTCTATTCTATTCTATTCTATTCTATTCTATTCTATTCTATTCTATTCTATTCTATTCTATTCTATTCTATTCTATTCTATTCTATTCTATTCTATTCTATTCTATTCTATTCTATTCTATTCTATTCTATTCTATTCTATTCTATTCTATTCTATTCTATTCTATTCTATTCTATTCATCTATTCTATTCTATTCTATTCTATTCTATTCTATTCTATTCTATTCTATTCTATTCTATTCTATTCTATTCTATTCTATTCTATTCTATTCTATTCTATTCTATTCTATTCTATTCTATTCTATTCTATTCTATTCTATTCTATTCTATTCTATTCTATTCTATTCTATTCTATTCTATTCTATTCTATTCTATTCTATTCTATTCTATTCTATTCTATTCTATTCTATTCTATTCTATTCTATTCTATTCTATTCTATTCTATTCTTCTATTCTATTCTATTCTATTCTATTCTATTCTATTCTATTCTATTCTATCTATTCTATTCTATTCTATTCTATTCTATTCTATTCTATTCTATTCTATTCTATTCTATTCTATTCTATTCTATTCTATTCTATTCTATTCTATTCTATTCTATTCTATTCTATTCTATTCTATCTATTCTATTCTATTCTATTCTATTCTATTCTATTCTATTCTATTCTATTCTATTCTATTCTATTCTATTCTATTCTATTCTATTCTATTCTATTCTATTCTATTCTATTCTATTCTATTCTATTCTATTCTATTCTATTCTATTCTATTCTATTCTATTCTATTCTATTCTATTCTATTCTATTCTATTCTATTCTATTCTATTCTATTCTATTCTATTCTATTCTATTCTATTCTATTCTATTCTATTCTATTCTATTCTATTCTATTCTATTCTATTCTATTCTATTCTATTCTATTCTATTCTATTCTATTCTATTCTATTCTATTCTATTCTATTCTATTCTATTCTTCTATTCTATTCTATTCTATTCTATTCTTCTATTCTATTCTATTCTATTCTATTCTATTCTATTCTATTCTATTCTATTCTATTCTATTCTATTCTATTCTATTCTATTCTATTCTATTCTATTCTATTCTATTCTATTCTATTCTATTCTATTCTATTCTATTCTATTCTATTCTATTCTATTCTATTCTATTCTATTCTATTCTATTCTAGTCTATTCTATTCTATTCTATTCTATTCTATTCTATTCTATTCTATTCTATTCTATTCTATTCTATTCTATTCTATTCTATTCTATTCTATTCTATTCTATTCTATTCTATTCTAATTCTATTCTATTCTATTCTATTCTATTCTATTCTATTCTATTCTATTCTATTCTATTCTATTCTATTCTTCTATTCTATTCTATTCTATTCTATTCTATTCTATTCTATTCTATTCTATTCTATTCTATTCTATTCTATTCTATTCTATTCTATCTATTCTATCTATTCTATTCTATTCTATTCTATTCTATTCTATTCTATTCTATTCTATTCTATTCTATTCTATTCTATTCTATTCTAGTCTAGTCTAGTCTAGTCTAGTCTATAGTCTAGTCTATTGTCTAGTCTAGTCTATTCTAGTCTAGTCTAGTCTAGTCTAGTCTATTCTAGTCTAGTCTAGTCTAGTCTAGCCTAGTCTATAGTCTAGTCTATAAATGCAGGGTAAACATGATTCGTTTTGGTTTCATTTCCCTTCTTTTGTCATTATGAGATTATGTTTTTTTTTTTTGTTCTAAAAATTATTTTGCAATTAAATGTTTAACCTTGAAAATAAAGTGTCGGTTTATTTTTTGTTGTTGTTTTTTAATTTCAAAACAACTAAATGTGTCACTTATCAGACCAACCAATAACCAAAGAATTCGAACAACATGTCATCTAAACAAAGAGACGTCAAAATGAATTAAATAAAAACAAAGTAACAACAACAACAGTTATGGTACGTAAAGAGAAAACTATTTAAAGAAATATTTGAATTATTAAAATAAATATTTAACAAAAACTTATAAATATTTTTTTTGCGGGCAAAATATAATTTATTTTCTAAATTTGAAAAAAAAGGGAGGGGTTTTTAGGTTTTTGTTCTTTTAAATTTAAGAAATAAATGTAAAAATATGTTTAAACTTTTTCTGTATAGTTTTTGTTTTAATTTGAACAACCTTAAAACCGGAAGTTTTGTTACATGTCAAAAACATTTTTATTTTGTGTTCGAAATTAAAGTTCAACACAATAACAGAATTAAACTTAGTAAAAAAAATTGTTTTAAAACTGTTGTTGCAACATTCCAT